ACCGATCATAACCCGTATGTGTTACTTGTTATGATCGGATAAACGTATGGAGATATCAAACAGTATTCAAAATCAAAAGTCTATAAAACAATACAAAATAGGAGCAGACAGGGACCTCCAAAACATCAGAGGTGGATCAGGTGCCATGGACGAGTGAGCATCCCCTGCCGACCGATCACAACCGCTGTATGCTCCTTGTCATGACCGGAAAATAACGGAAAAATCCATCGACAACTCAGTGTATAAGTAATAGACTAACAGTTAGAAAAACGTCAGTCAGCACTTGACTCAATGATAAATTGTATTTGCTGATAATGTCATTGTATCGACCATAGAACTAATAAAATGATGACTTTAAACGAGAATACTGATATTCTTGTTTCATTGACCTGTTTGCTAATACCGGTAATTTACCCTGTTTTACAAATTGTTCATACATACAGCATGTTCTTGCGTATCAAATCAACTAAGATATATAAACTCTGTATGTAGGTGATGAAGGTATATTGCTGGATAAGTAAGGGAAGTTGACGATTGTAAAGCTAGAGTCATCACGTTTATCATAGAATTTGGCTGTTAGATTACCATTAAAGTCTTTTTCAAATAAAATATCCAAAAAGAAACGGATGTGTCAGATTGTGGTATCTTTTATCTCAAGCTCACCAGGGTATATGGTATCTTATGTCCATTCCGATATAAGAATGGAAATAACCATGTTGGTAATTGACAAAAGTTGTCGATACATGTATATTTAATTGTCGAGTTAAGGCCATAAAAAGTTTTTTTTCTCTCATATGATTTTGGACTAAGATGCTTCATATGAATACAAAAATAGGTCTGCTAATAACGGGGCGCAATAGGTACCCATGGGAATCCCAATAGATTGTTGGAAGACCTGTCTCTAAAAAACCACATAGATATTGTCAATCAGAAACTCAAGCATTTTTTTTATGTCAACGTCAGAGTATTGGTGTGTACAATCTGAGTGTTTTTTAACAAAATAATTTTGCAAATTACTAATGACAGGGTTGGTAAATTTACGAGTTCCGTTTTAATTGAAAAAGCAGCCGTCAATCTTATCAAAATCCTGGACTTTAATTTATCGTTGAAAATTGTTGTGTATAAATTTGAAGAGTAAGTTTTTAAGCTGTGGAATTTGGAAAATCTTGTGATTTCAAATTGCCCAAAAGAATTGTTAATTATCCACATCTGATTTACACCACTTCTTGAATATATTGTTACACAGTAGTCTTGATGCTTCTCCTTCACTACTGTTAATATTATAGTGAGGTGAAAAGAAAGAGGCTTAATTGAACATTTACTGGAGCCCACTGTGTATCTTTGTAAGGATTTTATGAAGTTTCGGAATACAATATAGAATTGGTAGTTCAAATTCATTTTGGTTCTTTAGGATCTTAAAAATATTCAAAACTGACATATGATTTTGCCGAATGTCTTCTTTAGATAGGGGACTACATGTATGAGTATAAGTTGGTTTACTTGTGGAATTAAATCCAAGTTCTTCTAAATACAATTTATATAATGAGCCTTACACATGAAGACGCTTTGTTGCCTGCTTTTACTGTCAGCTTGGACCAGTACGTACTGATCATGTAATATATCTACGCATTAATTCTTTTATGCATTTCGGTGCAATAAAGTTGGAGAACATGCCTTTTCATGCCCTCCTCACAAAACTTTTTTATAGTATTACTAACTTGATTAAGTATTCAGAGCTGCCATTGTTAACCTGGAAGCAAAATGAGAGTTAAAAGTTTTCCCTAGAAACATCTGGTCCACAAAACTTATGTCATATTTCATCTTAAAAATATGATTGGTCACATTCTACTCTTGCAAAAACGTTGAAAAATTAATGTTAAAAGGACATTAATCATAAAAAAGACATATTTTCTCTTTATGCATTAGCCAAATCAACTTTTAGAACATATAATTTGTCGTATCCTGTACATATTTATTTAGGTTTTGAAATTTTCTTTTTCAACTACAAGGTCACTTGTGCCGAAAATGAGATTTTTTTTTATTTTCTACACAAAAATTTCCTTTTAAAAATCCTTTAAAACATAATTTATTCTTCATGAGCTTTTGTTAGTTACATGCTAGTAATGAATTTATTATTTGAAAATTCGAAGGGGAACATCGGGTCACCTGTTTATCATTGGAGTATATCATCTTATATTGGACACACGCAAAATAGTATAAAACGTTGATAAAGTAAGAATTATTGCCTTCATATGTTACCAAAATAAAGAAAAATATTTGAGAGGCAAACACATACATGATGTCATTATTGTCTTATGACAACAGCTTTACAACGTTAAGGGAATCTAATAAAAAAGTGAGAAAACAAATTGTACTAAGTTTATATTTTTTGTGAATTCTGCATGATAATCTGTAAGAAGCAGTTATTTGGGACCTGTTTTAACGATTAAATCCTTGTTCGAAAGAGATGATGTTGTTGGATTTTTATTACATCAAGTACGTCGTATTAAAATATCAAATTTAAAGGCCATTCATCAATGGGTAAATATAAGATCATTTTTCTATAAAGAATTTAAATTTGCTCCTTTTAATCATGTGAATTTTACATCGACAATATTATCGATTTTGAACTTGATAATAGATGAATGATGAATTTTTCAGAAAAATTTGATACTGATCCTTTTTAAAGGTCTGTTTAATACATCTCTTTTTTTGTCTAGTCGGAGATTAACACTGGTGTGTCGTGTTGTCATATTATTACATGTTGTCGTTGTCTGTGAGGATTTTTACAGGTAAATACAAATCTCTTATTGTTAATGCACCTCAATATCCTGTATTTGCAGCTTTTGGAATTTTAAATCTTTCCTAATGACACCAGGTCAAGCGGAAAGTTTTAACAAACGTGGAAGAGCTTCCCTCACAGGATTTTTACCTGTCACCTCCCACTCAGATGGAATTAAATAATGTACAGCCCTGTACTACGCAACAGTTCACGTATGCTGTTTTCGTACAAAACATGTTCTAACAACAATCCATGTAATGTCAAATTACATAAGGAGATATGTGACATGAAATGATACAGAAAAGCAATGTCTGCTTTAAACACATCAAAAACGGCAGTGATGTCAAACAACAGTTATGATATACTGAACAGTACACAATCTACTCGAAACAAGACAGTGTCTACTAACAGCCCTTATGATGCAGAAGGAGCCCTGAAGTTCACAGTGGCCGTTGTAGCCGTGTATGGTGTCGCTGTTTTGGGTGTGTTCGTTTTAGGATACTTCGGTAGAAAGCGTCATGGTAACAATGATTTGGACCAACAAGCAAGTAGTTTTCTCGTAAACTTAGAAAAAGTGCGAAATAAGCTTGAAAAGGAAAGACAGATAGGAAACGTGAAGTCTTTACTGCGGTCTTACAGCATGAGTATGGATAGTGTGACGGATCGAAGGCCGAGCATCACGAGCTCCCTTCTTACTGAGAGTGAGCGGACTAGTGACACAGGCCTAGTGCCTAATTCCTCTAAGATTTGTTTTGGTTCGCCTGATACATTGCCTCCTCTTCACGAAGGCCTGGAGGAGGGTGAGGAAGAGAATGATGATGACAATGATAGTGTGTTCATGACAGAAGAAGAAAGACAAAGATACGGGGTGGACATGTACATGAATGTGAAGGAAACTCAGGATTGTTAGTGATATAAGTGATAGGAGGTTAAGATAATCTCTATTACATACTGTTCTGGTAATAAAGTGCTCTTGACCGTCAGACATGGACTGGAAGCGCCAATTTTCCCTTGCGTCGTAGTGTAGCAGTGCCAAAATAAAATATCTTCAGTATTGACCAAATGTTGAGTGATAAAAAGTTAAGTGTTCAAAGGATAAAATCGGGAGACTATCCCCTGTTAGTGTAAACAATTCAAGGAAGTGCAGCGAAAACACCTCATATTTATCATGTAACTAATTGTTAAAAGTAAATTTAAAAAATTATTTTCTTTGTTCGTGTTTATCTACATAATTTTAAAAGAAATGAAGCATGTAACAAGTCTGTCTTAAGAATTTACAAAAGAAATGTCATTGTGGATCTTTATTATGTTTATAGACGTGATCTTATGTACAACTTTCTCTGTATCTATTTATTAGGTTTTCATCCATTTTATTTGTTCTACCCATTGAAAAAGTTCAATAGGTAAGGTTTAAATATTCAAAGTCTTAGTAAACGAAAAAGATTGACATTAAGAAACTGTATACATTTTAATGCACTGTAAATTTGCTTTAGTCTAAATCTTTACAGAAATAATAATATCTCGAATGTCATTCTTGGTTGAAAGTTTTAGTACTCTTTGGAAAAGGATTAAAACCTCGAAACATACAATCTACATTTAAGAATTTGAAAGATATACACTGTATATCATTTTCAATGTTCAAATATTTGCTCATTTCACTTTAAATGTGTTCTCTAATTCTTGTCCTCTGCTTAAACTTTTCAAGTGACTTCAAATAATCACGCCCATCATGAACTTTCATGTGAATCAAGTAAATACACACAATATTTAAATTATGAACGTTCTTTGCATCAGAAAGCAAGTCAATTTGTGACTGTGCATAACTCGTATTCGTCTATATGTTTAATTTGACCAATGTTTATTTGTTTATCTATTTATTATCACTTGTTTGATATTTTTTTCATATCATACATTTTGTAATCCGACGCCCCGTAATGCCATAAAATGCCGTATTATTATTATCAAATAAACGTGTATCTACATGTACATTTGTGAAAATAGAAGACTAAGGAAGATAATTTATGAAATCATTGAAAGAACACTATTTAAACATATACATGTATAATTCACAAAATATGCTGTTATATAATGCTGATGCATTTTATCCAGGATCTGTTCGAATCATTATAATTTTAGTTCGATAATAATGAACGATTCCCTACATTAAATTGTAAAAAAAAGTATGTTTTAATAATACATCATGATTAAGTATATTAATGTATTTACAAATAAAATGTTTTATGTGTAGAAGAGTCTATGGTATCTTTATTTGAATCAACTCAACTCCATGTAAATTTCCTTAAAATATCACAAAGAGAATTGTGTAAAGGAATATATGTTTTTTAAATTGTTTTTTATTATTCAACATAACTTTAGTCTTGATATTTTTTTAATGTTTAAAAGTAAACATTTAAACGAAAGCAGACCGAGAACTCAAAGAGAGAGTTTTGTAAATGAAAACTTGTATGAATGACGACAGTGATATTAAAAACAATATAATAATACTAGTATAATATCAAATATTTTAACTTTCAGCATTTAAAAAAAAAAATTAATTTGGAATCTTGTAATGATGTACTTTTATAACAAAGGAAAGCTTACTTAGGAAAGGCTTTCTAACCTTTAATTGAAGTGTACAATAAAAATACAGAAATACCAAAACATTTAAATCACGATGAAAAACATTATTTTTTTCGAAAAAGAAAACACATTCAACCACCATTTACCACATTCAAAACCAAGTGAAACTTTTAAACTTTTTATGAATCTTTGTCTCTAAGGAATAAGAGTAAAGTGCAGGGGTAATTTTCTGATGTCTGCTATGTAACACTATATCAGCTGTACTTTCTTTGAAATGTGTAAATCATCCCTTGGGCTCTCCGTTGTAGGGGAATGTCCGGGTTTACTTGTAGATTGTTTCATAAGATTACAGGTGTAAATTAAGTTTGACGGGAAAACGTACTTTACAATTTACCTTCCAAATAATCCTGTCTCAAGTTCATAACGTAATGCTGCAGGAATGTGTACAAATGATAATAAGGTTTTTGTAATAAGTTAAAATTAGAAAGTAATCGAATTAATTTCATAAAAAACGGTCAGTGAATAATACAATGTATAATTATATTAAGCTAAAACAAAAACTGAGAATGAATATTATTTTCTAAACCTTTGGAATGCATTAAATATGCAGTTTTGATATGAAACGTTTTAAAATAATCCACAAATCAAATTCCATAAAGGCATTCCATTCGATGGTAAATGGACGGACTCTTCTATTCACCATATTATGACAAATCATTTATAAATGCAGGGCTTTACCTATAAACAGTAGAGATATGATAGATTGTGTCCAATAATCGAGAAACAACAGCTGTTGTGTAAATAACCTACCTATTTACCAGAATAGGTTACGATATCGGAGTTATCAAATAAATTGCACAGGTGCCCTTATCAAATTTCATACCTGTAATTGATTTGAGAACTTGTTGGATAAAACTGTCCCTGATGAGTGTATATCCGCGAAGTGTTGGATATCGAGTAATATAGACGAATTAATCGAAAACCACTGTCGTTTATACCGATCGTTATCTTTCTACAAATGTACGTTTTGTATGTTCATTTAATTATTTTGATTAGTTGATTCGGTAGGCGAGTGCATGTTCTACGTATGAACATTTTCTAAAAGTAGGTAAACTGTTACTAAAACAAGAACACCAGCAGTCTCATTTAAATTTATCATTTCGTAAGTTCTATGGTCGACACAATGACATTATCAGCAATTACAATTTATCATTAAGTTATATGCTGACTGTCCTTTTTCATATTAATTGTTAGGGCATAATTTATACACCGATTTGTCCACGGATTATCCCCTTTTATCCCAAACATGACAAGGAGCACACGGCTGGTGTGACCGGTTGGAAGGGAATATTCACTCCTCATGGCACCTGATCCCACCTCTAATGTTTAGGAGGCCTAAGCCCGTGTTTGCTCTGCTTTTTGAGATTGAATACTGCTCGTTATCGCCATGTATGTCGTTCATATTATTATGTATTTATTTACCTAAATGATCTTCCCACTAATTGATATTTGATCGCCTCTCAAGAACAGACTTTAAAAAAAGAGAAAAAGAATCGTGAACAGGACAAAAACATGGGCCCAAGAGGTGAGATCAGTGCATAGAATAAGTAACCATCCCCTATCCATACGTTTTTATCAGTAGACGTTATGATCCAAAATCGAATCTATTCTTATAAATTAACAAATTTTATAAACTCTGAAACCTCTGCACAAGAGTTCTTACTTAAGCCTGTAGGAATACACTAGGTATAAGGTGATGTCCGTAAACTATATTCAGAATTCACTCTCATAATAATTATCGTAAATTTAATTAAAAGTCTACTTTCGAAATAGCACTGAAGAGAGAAAAGTGGAGGCGGATCTAAGGAACTGGCATTTCAAAAAAACTGACAACAAGCAAGCGCTTATTCATTTTATAAAACGTCATTTATGAATTATTCAATCAAAACTTGATTTAAGGATGACGTTTACTCAGGTTTCAGAAAACAGAAAGGAAATTTTATAAAGTATAATATCTTAAAGCAAAAATTGTTCTAAATGGATAAAATAAGCAAGTTTTAAATCAAAATCAATTTAAAATTTTAATATTTTATTATTTCAAAAAAAAAATATAGGAACAAAAGTCAATGTATGGTAATGCAGAGGAAATTCGGACCAAATTTTTAAAATTTTTAATTTTTGTCAAAATTTTTTATTTCTTTTCATATTAAACACAAAGTAAAGGTTACACGTATTTTTAAACATCATTTTGCAAATGAGTGCCTGAAGTACATGATATTTAACATAGTACAACAGAATAAAGTTGCTTTATAACATGTAAGAAGAAGAGGCCTTTAATGAAATTGATATTTGTAGACGTAAAAAAAATCCAAAAATATTAGGAAATGCATTTCTTATAAGTATCTATTTCTGTTCCTAAACTAATTGCGGGATATTTTAAACATGGTAACCCAAAGTATTTTGGTCCTACTTATTTTAAGATGTTTTAAATCAATTTGTTAGGTCATTGTTTTATGTTAAACTAGCTGAAATCCCGCGCAAGCGCGGGGGGAAATTTATTTTTTTTACTGCTAACAGAACTATTCTGAAAACTATCTTTCAGATTCTATTGACAGTTTATTACACAGGAATATAGCATGAAGAAATAATATATATCTAAATATAAAATTGGATTTTTAGCTTGTAGGAAATTAGTCCTTAATCTAACATTTTAAAATCTATCTACGTTCTAGTTTTTTTTCATTGGGAGCGGAACCTAACATATATTTCTGGTAACAGTTAGTATTTCTTTCCCGCTTATCACCAGCTGGGTAGTATTTTATCATTAATAGGGAGTGTCAGAATATTAGAATAAATAGCATACAAAGAATTTTAGAACACACTTTCAGCATACCCACGCACGATTCAATTTTGATAACTGATAAGAAGTGCTAAGTGGTTACATATGGTGGTTATTATGATATCAAAATTTCATCACAAAAACTGGGCTCTCTTTCAGCATATAGTTGATTTTAAATAAAAGTTTTTAAATAAAGTGTTATATTATAAAAAGGGTAAGGAAATACCGGTTATCAAGCCTAAAAGTCCTTGAAACAATACTTACAGAGAGCAGCGGAGACACTGCCGCTAACAGCATCAAAGTTGGAATCAGGTTCCATAGTAGGGGAAAGCATCCACTGCCGACCTATCATATGCACCGTATGCTCCTTGACATGACCAAGCAAGCGCGATTACATCCGTAGAAATCTATTCTTACATAATGGCCTTACATTTTGTTTTATTTGTCATATTTCAGTGTTTTATAACTAGCAAATTCAGACAACGCTAAATCAAATCTACGCTAACTTGTTCAAAATCGAATTTCCGGCAAATATCGTACACGCCAAATGTAATATATTTACAGTATTTTTTTTCATTTTGTACAACTTTTAATATGTCCATTTATTTTCATCTTGGAGATGAGATTACTTTATTAACGATTGTAAAATCAGCGGTTTAAATATTTTCGTCACAGTTAATTCATAAATGGTTGACTATTTAACCATTCATGGCGTGTAGTATCCATATCTGATTTACACAACTTCTCGAATATATTGTTGCCCATTTCTCTTTGATTTTCTCTTT